ATTAAACAGCACATCTTAAGAAGAAGCTGTTTTTTACCCTTTACATCCTTCCTTCAGGGGCCCTGAAGAGAATACAGTGTCTGAGATATTCCTTATTTCTACTTTTCATTCGCGGTACCTTACCTGCCCTGTTAAACTAGTTTGAAGTGAAAGCGATAGTTCATCCAGAAAAGAAAATTCTGAAATCATTTACTCAACCTCATGTCTTTTGAAACTCACATTACTTTCTTTCTTCTTTGAAACACAAAAGGAGATGTTTAGCAGAATGTTCAAGTTGCTCTTTTCTATAGAAAGTGAATAGTAAGATTAACAATGAATTTTAGTCTGTTACACAAAGCTATAGAATGACCTGGAAGACGTGGAATATAAATTGTATGATATATTGTTATGATGCTTTTAGGGTGCATTTTTGGAGCTCAACAGTCCCTGGTCCCCATTCACTTTCATTGTATGGAAAAGAGCAACTTGACTTTTACATACTTCAGTTCGCAATAGCAACATGGATAATAATGCAGAAATTCCTGGATTCTGAGCACATGAATCATAGGTGCTTAATGGTGCAATTATTTACAAACATATTAACTCAAATTATACATTTTTGAACAAATTCAAATTTTTTCTAAAAATAAAGCCATTAAAGGAATAGTTCACCCAAAAATGAAAATTCCTCTGCAGTGAATGGGTGCCGTCAGAATGAGAGTCCAAACAGTTGATAAAAGCATCACAATAATCCACATGACTCTAGATCATCAGTTAATGTCTTGTGAATTGAAAAGCTATGTGTTTATTAGAAACAAATCCATAATTAAGCCGTTTTAACTTTAAGCCGTCACTTCTGGTCAAAATATGAGTCCATAATCCGTAATAACACTTCCTCTCACAGTAAAATCCACCAACATATTTGTTAAGAACTGTTTTGGACTGTTTTTGAATGTAAACAATGCTTGATCTTAGCATAGTAGGATTATTGTGATGTTTTTAGCAGCTGTTTGGACTCTCATTCTGACGGCACCCATTGTTGGTGTTTGTTAGAATTTGTCTGTGCGGTGTGAATTGACCTTTACACCACAATAGAAGTTCCAGACTAGTTTGAGTTATTTCTATCATAGAAACTACAAATGATAAGCATCCGCTTTAATGACATATAATTTAGGAATATACAGTATAAAGTTGTAAAACTAAAGCACTGTTTAGACAGTGACAGTGTTTGGTGTCTCCCACGGTCCTCTGAGACTGTAATCAGATTAATTGTGCTCTTGTATTCTGTATTTAATCAGTAGTGCTGTAGTAATCAGTGTCGCGCAATCAGTCTGTTAATCAGTAGCATTGTGATTAAATAACACTAATATACACATCAACCAAACATCTGGATAAACCATTTAATGCTTTTAGCAGATGCTTCAACATATAAATACTTTGCTTGTTTGAGAATTGAACTGACAACTTTGATGTTGTTAGCACCAGTTGAGATACAATAACATATCAAATTATATTTTACATTCACTTAACACACCTAAAATAATGGCACCACGTATTTTGTATTCATTAGATGTCATGTCGGTATGTAAGCACAGGCGTGTGTGTGTTCGTGTGTCGGGCAGATGGTGGGGATGGACCAGAGGGAGCTGTTGTGACCCACAGGTGGCTGTTCGACCTGCTAAAAGGCAGACCAACACCTGGAGAAGTCTTAGAATTGAAATAGAGAGGAAATAATGAGTTGCAAACACACTGTCAAACACAGAGATAAAGTGAGTAAAAGATAGAGGGCACAAAGGGTGAAACAGGATGCCAAGACTCTCTTCTTATTTTACTCTCAGAAAGGTATATCTCTTACATACTGGTATGCAATATGCCCATTGCAATATAAGTAATTTTATTTAATGATAACAATATATTTCACAGTATAGTTATTTTTGCTGAAAATAAGGCAAAGCATTTTAGATTACATTAAAATGTCACAATTCTCAGTTTTTTAATAACACGGCAAAAGCTAATACTGATAATGTAAATACAAAGTTCTGTCATGAAACTCTAGATGGCGCAGTCCGATAGGTTCTAACCGTAGACAGTAAAAAAAAGGATGACGTGTCTCCACTTCCTTCCACTATAGAAAAGTGAAGCCAAAGCATCTCAGTATGGCCGCTGTCATCTTGCGTCATTTGGAGCCACAGTCTGCGCAGTAGAGATTCGTTTGGAGCCAGAGTCTGCGCAGTAGTGATTGTGAGGTGGAGTCTCGGTATCAAAGTCCCGCCCAAACTCCCGCAGACCCAATCACAAGATCACAATCATGACACCACACCCCGTTTTTATAGCACCAAATAACTACCTAAAAGCAAACTTATTAGAAAAACAAACACTTGAACATAAATCAGCATGATAAGAACTACCTCAAATGACGGAAACCATCTTTGAAAAATGTTTATTTGAAGTGTAATTTGATTATTTAGTTTGTCTCACGTCCCATAATATTACATGGAGAGGGCGGGGTTTATCACCTGTACTGCAGCCAGCCACCTGGGGGCGATCAAGACACTTTGACTTCACTTTTCAGGACTTGTGCGGCACGCTTGATTCTAACTCTATCTGACATATTGACATCATTATTCACATGGCACAGCTGATTGGTTTCTTTTCGTATCAACAGCCAATAACCTTCCTGCTCAACATTCAAATACTCGGCTAGCGCTTGCTGTAGCAGTCGCAACACGCTTCAGAAACCAGCTCCAGGTTCTTCAGAAACCTTCCCCAGCTCCACCTGTATAGATCTGCTATGTGGTGATTTCATGTATGTTAAATACTGTATGATGCAATATGCGCAACAGCAGTATTTTCTACATGCTCACAGCAGCATGTTGTGGATATATTGGCAGTAGCAAGTCTCGGTACTTGCTCTGCCGCAGCAGCAGTGTAGCAGATCTATTCCGCCAAGATCAAATACGTTAACATTGTCATGTATATTACCAGGCTAAACTCTCCGAGAGTTGTCTTGACAGAACAAACATACATAAAAAGTTCCCAAGTTTATTGAAGGCAACTTAGGCAAGTAAACAGTCTTTAGTAATAAAATAAAAACAACAAAGCTAATTACAATGACAATCAGTGGGACAAATAAATACAAATAAGTAGATATATAGGCTGCTGTTGTAAAGGCCCATTCATACCAACAACGATAACTATAACGATAACTATTACAATTATTATATTAGTGTCCATACCAATGGATGATAACGTTCTGTTTATTATAAGCATGTATTGCAGTTCTGTCATCTGCCGCTTTAAATTATCAATCTCTTTAAAACAGGATGGATTCTTATTGGCTGTCAATGTTTTTTATTGTTCATCAGCTGGACAAAATTTTCTCTGAAAGTGAGTCCAAAGATATTGTTCTTGTGTCATTTCCATTACAGTTTAGGTGTAGATTTCCCTATTCTCATAGAATTATTAAAACTTATTGTCCTTGGTGTGAACAGTCATTTTAAGAAAACTTGGTTGTTTATGCTATAGAAGTTTTTTTTTTTTTTAAATCAGTGCTATATGACTAGAAAAATGATGAAAAGGGCTATGATATTCCTTTTTGCAAATATGTAGGGAAACTTCAACACCCATAATGCACTGGGTCAAACTGACTGTCTGTCAGCAGGAATACAAAAATGCAGAAGTGTGATCTGTGGTTTTCATAAAAGCCTTAGGTCAGTGTAGCCAATCCACATGACCAACTCGTCATGTTATGAAAACTGTGTGGGGAAATCTTTTGCCCTCACACTTACCACTCTGCTGTTATATTGCTCATCTCTACCACTGATACACAGTTGGCCAAAATAGAAGTTCTTTCTTAGAAACAGATTCCGTTTGTTTTAAGTAATGCATAATAATTCATACTAGTAACTCACATCTCAGTTTGAAGTAGGCAGTCTAAAATGTGTGTGTGTGTGTGTGTGTGTGTGTGTGTGTGAATCTAGTGGAAATTAAATTCTCTAACACAGTGTAAATAGGTAACTTCTTAAGAGATTCAAAACATTAGAATTCCTCAAGGCTCCGAAACACTTTCAAGACCTTGTTAGGGCTGTGGACTGCATCTTAAATGACACCTATTATCAGAGGCAATACAAACTCAATCTTTCCCATTTCAAAACAAAACATTTCATCTTAGTCACGGCACACAAGGGTAATTAATCTGTACAGTCATCATTTTGTTGTCGCATGTAAAGCATCCAACCGCAAACAGAACTTTTAATTAAGGCTAGTGCTTGCATATTTTATTCATCACTGTTTGAGGACTTCTCAACATTTGGTTGACTGTACTTATAAACAATTCAATATTAGCATGTGTTTTCATTAATGAGACTATATTTTCTTCTATGCATGGCATAGGGCCTGCTGTCTTACTGATGAATTGACAAAGAACAAAAAAGCTGAGAGGAACGACATTTCCTGAAGACTTGAAATTTCCGGAGGTTTTGACACTTTTGCCTAAAATAACTTGCTCTTACTCTTTGCACTTTCACGGCTATATTAGTTAAGTCTCTAGATTTTGTAGACTTCAAAGTCACTTTGAAATTAGCGGTCAAATAAAGATCAAATCCTGTCACAATAAAACAATTATCTAAATAACAGTTTGTGGAAGTCCAAAATGTTCTTAATTATCCGATCTAAGCTAAGCTACATCACCTTGTAGTGGTGTTCAGGAAGTGAGTCCTGTGTCTTCTGGTCAGAAATCACCTAATTGAACCGATTATAATTGAATAAATGATTCTCAGTCAGTATCATATCACACAGAAAGCAACAATGAACATCTAATGTCTGTCTGTTGCTGCAGATATTTTACAAATCGCTTTAAGCATACTTAACAGTTTAATGTCACATGATCTTAGACTTCACACATTTACCGCATGCCAGTTCCGTTGCGTTTAGTTATTTTAGTTAGTCTGTGAGCTGAATGACACAGATAGAACTTTCAACATCATCACAGAATATTAGTGTTGGACTTTAAAAGATCAGATATGTCTGATACTATTTATGACAATGTAATTGGGACTGAGACTGAGGGAATCAACAGAGAGAGAGTGGAGATGACGGTGGCTATCTATGAGATTGCAGATTGTGTGAGAGATCATGACTTCAGGACAGAGACAAACACACACACACACACACACACCTACCACTTCAGCACACAGGTAATCATATTAATTTCTTTGATTAAATGTCACAGTTTGCACATGTTCAGTCATTTAACATCACGTCTGTGGTGTTCAGGAAATGACTCCGTGAAGATCAGAAGCTCCAGAGCAGCTGTAGTGTGTTTGGTGCTGCTGTGTGTTCTTCTGTCTAGTGCTGTGTGTCCCCATCAATACAAACAACACAAACTACACACAAGAGACACACCAGCTACTAACCAACATTACCGACCTCACAAAAGAAAGAGACCAGCTACTGATCACGATCAAAGATTTCAAAACAGCGAATGATCAGTTAGAGATCCAGAACAACAACCTGACAATTGAAAAGAAAGAATTATTGTCCAAGAGTAATGATCTAATGAAACAAAGAGAGCAGTTACAGCGGGAGAACAATGACCAGTAATTTGCAAGTAATTTTCACTTCCTTACTGAGCGGTCTTTCGTTTCTTTAATTTTTTCTTCTCTTCATTGCCTGTTTCATTGCCTTCCTGTTTTGACCATTGTGCGTGCCTTGTTGACTGTTTCTACTTTGTGCCTTGGATTTGTTTGCTGGATTTATTAAACTTTCTGCATTTGGATTCTACCTTCACCTCCAAGTCGAATTCCTCACAGAAAAACTGTGAATGGTTTTCATTGTGATTATACAGTGTGAAAATTATTATTCCTTTATTGCTGATAAACTTATAGGACACGTGGAAAAAAACAACAACTCTGAATGTCACACTGTTTGTTCACACTTTGCCATCCACTTTGTTTTAACTCGTGTTAAAATAGGGGAAAAATAGTAGAGCTGCTAATGCTATACTATATATACTTTATATGCTATACAGGAACAACATTGAGCATTAGAAGAAGGTATAATTTGTCTGTGGCTAAATAAAAATCAATCAATCAATAATATAACATTTTATATATATATATATATATATATAAACAAACTACAGGTATTTCGTGAAAACTGTCGTCACGTATGAGGTTCCATTTCAGCTGGATGCTGCCTATGTAGTCGGTATACTGTACATCAGGGCAGCTCACTAGGTTCTGAAACACAGCTAGTAGCATTAGTATTACTTTTTACATGACTAAGAGAGGTGGAGTTGGAGTGGCATGTTCTTCTCCAAACCTAAACAAATGCAAAATAGACCACAAAAATATCAATTCAAACAGATGGGCTGAAAAGTGCTTGTTCACATTACCAAAAGCAACTACTATTGTTCTCAACCAATGTGTTTGTTGTACAAAGAGTGTAATTTTGGTAAAGGAGTACAGTTATATGAAAAATAACTTCACAAGAGAAATTATTTGTCAGCAGTACTCATATCACATGTTCTAAAACCACACAGAGATGCCTTTAAAAAGAAAAAGCCTAAAAGCAGAAGTTCAGAGCTATGCAGACCACTTGATTCAGTAACTTCTAATGATTTCACATTTAACTCCAGCAGACTGAATATGTCTTATTACGACAATATGAACATTCCTGGGACACGTGGGATGGCTGGAGATAAAGTGGAGATGAATATCTATGCTAATGCAGATGCTCATGATGTCTGAGACTCATTTAACTATAATAACTAACACGCACACATTTTAGTCATTTTAGTGATTAAGAAACATTAATCTTCATATTGGTCATCTTCAGGAAGCTCCAGAGCAGCTGCAGTGTGTTTGGTTCTGCTGTGTGTTCTTCTGCTGACTGCAGTGATAGTGCTGTGTGTCCACATCCATTCAAACAACTCAAACTGCACAGAAGAGAGAGATGAGCTACTAACCAGGAATACCAACCTCACAGAAGAAAGAGAACAGCTTCTAACCACAATCAAAGCTCTTAAAGACCAGCTAGCAATCAAGAATTAAAACTTTACAGCTGAAAAGAAAGAATTATTATCCAAAAATGACAATTTAATGAAACAAAGTGAAAAGTTAAATCAAGAGAACAATGACCTGCAGAAACGTCTTGGTGAAATGGGTAATCATGACCACAACTATACAAACATTTAACATTAACAACTTGTCATAATGTACAATCTTTGGGTACAAACTGTTATAAACAAGTTGTGTAGTGTGGATGAGAATGAAGTGTTAATAGTTTAATTGTCTGCGTTCACAGAGAGATGGAAGTGCTATCAATCCAGTCTTTTCTATTTATCTTCTGAGAGGAAGAGCTGGACTGAGAGCAGAAGATACTGTACAGAGAGAGGAGCAAATATGATCATCATAAACAACAGAGAGGAACAAGTAAGTAAAAGATATTGTGTTTGCTTGTATGTAAAGTAAGACTGTAAAGTTATAATTTCATCTTTTCAGGAATTTGTTAGGAAATGGTCTGATAAAGACAGAGTCTGGATTGGTCTGACTGACAGGGATGTGGAGGGCACATGGAAATGGGTTGATGGCAGCACACCGACCTCTGGGTGAGAAATCACTGAACTGATTATTGTGTAATATATAATTCTCACAGTCAGTATCATATCATACAGAAAGCAGCACTGAACATCTAATGCTGATCTATTGATGCAGGTTCTGGATGTCTGCAGAGCCGGGTGGATATAGAGGAGAGAACTGTGCTCTAACTGTTGTAGGAGAATGGGCTGATCATCCATGTACAGAGGAATTTCATTGGATGTGTGAGAGGAGCACAGTGTAAGTCACTGAATGACATGCATGTGTATTCTAACATCCAGTTTAATTTACCCACAGAGGGTTTCAGAATCTCTGTGGTCATTTTGCTTTATAGGCGACATTGTTAAACTATATTTCACACGTTGTTGGCTGCCTTGATAATTTATTGTTTTTAAAACATGAGATGTCATACAATGGACTTAGCACCTAGCAGTGAGAGTAGCATCATATTTAATCTTTCATAGGAATGAAAAAAGCAATGGATAGAAGTATAGTGCATTCAATGGATTGTACTGTTGTTTAACAACATACAACATACAAAAACTTTAAGTAAACAAAAACTCCATAAAGCAGTTTTCAAAGTTAGGTTGTGACAATTACATGATCTAGGACCTTGTAAAGACTGTAAGTGTATCCCTCATTGCATTAAATCCAATATGGCATCTAACCTGACCAAGGTGTATTAGCAAGAAGACTAAAAGTAAGCTAAATTAAATGTTTCTAACATATATACACATACTTAAACAACCCAGCCTGTTTTAAAGTATGTTTTATTTTATTTGACTTTTATTGGACTACTTTCTTTTCCTTTTTTATATGTTAAGTACTATTAAATGTTATTGTGAAATGAACATGATTTTTGTTATCAATGTTTTGTTTTTTTTGTAGACAGTACATTCTAAAGGTAATTAGCGAATATGTAAATCCAACAAATGATCATTTGCTTTGTATGGCAGTGTTTATATGACTATGTGAAATATACATACTGTATAAAAGGGAGCTCAGATGTCAGATATACAATCCGGTGAGTTTTGAGCTGCTTTGGTGTTCTGTAAGCTGCAAGCACAATTTGTTTTGTTTGTCAAGGTCGCCAACATGAAAAATGTCCAGCTTATATAATACAAATGCTTCAAAGCAATTCTAACCATAACACAATAATCTTGTATTAACTAGTCATCATATTTTGTGAAACCTTAACTCAACCCGCATTACACAAGTGCACTGTCTTGAAAAACCTGGATATTTGAGGAAGCCTGATTTTATAGTGTGTAATAAGGGTATTTCTAGACCTGGAAATGTTAGATAAATTATTAAAATACCATGAGTGTTTGTATAATGAATATAGATTTTTATAGTTATGCCAAGCTCTTAAATATTTATTGAGAAATTGTGAGTAAAAATTGTGTGTTATTTAAGTATTCCTTATCTGGTAATGACGAATAACGAATGACTGAAAAAGTCAGATTCATTGGCTAAAATGAGAGGGAATCAAAATGGTTGAGAACCACTTCACAAGTGTTTCAGTGTGGACGGTTATACAAAGGTTAATATCAGATGTGGTTTTAATAACTAAACATCATACAGATGGAAGTTTGAGGAACTGTGGAAAGACTGATCATCTGATCATCATCAAATGCACAGGACAAATTCTGAGTATGGGTTACCACTCCTTATTTCACTAATCATGTGATGTTTGGCTTAACTCATTCCATTTCCATTGTGTTTAGATGTATGTGTTGATAAAAACAGAATCAGATTGCAAAGTCACAAAGAGCAGCCAAACTGAACAAAGCAACGTTCAGTGTTATAATGTCTGACTATAAAAGACTAGAGAAATCTGAGGTTATTTATGAGAGTGTGAGCAGGACTGAGCTTCAGGACATGGACAGAGGGACAGTGGAGATGAAAGAGTCAAACACACACCAGCTGCTTCAACGTACAGGTAATCCCTTTCACTTCTATGATCAAATGAATAAATAGGGTAAAAACATAACAGTTTGCACATGTTCGCTCGTTTCACATCATGTCTGTGGTGTTCAGGGAGTGATTGTGTGAAGATCAGAAACTACAGAGCAACTGTAGTGTGTTCGGTGCTGCTGTGTGTTCTTCTGCTGACTGCAGTCATAGTGCTGTGTGTCCACATCCATACAAACAACACAAACTACACCCCTGAATTGTGGAAATGTCTTCATGAAATGGGTAATCATGAACGACACAATTATTCTAACTTTTAGCATTAAAAACAAAATTTATACAGTAATCATATGACGGGAATAAAGTAAGAATAGCTGAACTGGTTGTGCTTGTAGATGAATGGATTTACTATCAATCCCGTCTTTACTATGTCTCTTCTGAGTGGAAGAGCTGGACTGAGAGCAGGCAAGACTGTTTGAAGAGAGGATCGGATCTGGTCATCATAAACAACAAAGAGGAACAAGTGAGGGAAAGAGAAAAGAGAAAGATATGCATATACTTGCTATATATAGTTCTTATTCTCACAAACATCTTAAAAACAATTCAAGATGCTCGTCACTAGTGGAAAAATGCATATAAATGCAAATAAAATGTCTTGATTAACTGGCCTACAAAGGCAAAAGACAGAAACTAAACCAATACTAGAACTACAGTAAAGAATTGTGTTAATGAATTTTGTCCATTTCTCAGTATGCATTCTGATGAGATCTTGTTTCCATGTGTACACATTCTACGTCATCATCAACTGCCAAAGTTCAGTTTCAATTCTCAAGAATGCAAGTACAGAGGATGCACAAGATTACCATGCGTTCTTGATACTGAGGAAGCATTGAATACGGACTTGAAAGAATCAAACTGTTAGAAATCATTGCAGGCAGACAATGTACAAAGTAAATGTTTTAATAGGTGTTGACATTTGTGATGTTATATTTATTGTGCGTTTCGTGGAGCTTTCCTACTATTTAAAATGTGCTGAGTCATTTGAGCAACAAGATCACGGCACATCTCTCAGAATGATTCTACTATGTCCTCGTCTTTTCAATTTTGCTCCATCAAGGTAGCCTGTGTTCTTGGAGATGAGCCAAACCTGAGAGCTCAACATTGACAAAAAGTCACTTACTGTGCTTTCTTCCTTGCATGGAAGAAAGCCTAAAGTGGTAAAGGTGTCTGCAATGGGTATGGTGTTGTTATTATAATTAAAGATCAAACCAACTTAATTAAAGATTAAATTAAGGACATTGGGCATCCTGACAAGTTTGAATGTATATGTGTGTATGAAGTCAACTGAATTTTCAGATTACAATATAATTGTGTTTAATAATGCATTTCCTCTTGTAAGGATTTTGTTAGGAAGATTTCTGGCACTGGAGTCTATATTGGTCTGACTGATATTGATGTGGAGGACTCATGGAAATGGGTTGATGGCACCAACATGACCTCTGGGTGAGAAATCACTGGACTGAATGGATTGGAACTGATAATTGTTTAGTTTAGAATTTGTCCTATATGCCAATGTTTTATGACTGTATACAGTAATATAATATAATAAAGTTAAAATGTTACTTTCAAGCTGGAGTTTGTGTGTTTTCTCTTAGTTGCTGTTCTGTGCTTTGATTTGTGTTTATTAAAGACAGTACCATTTCAAATCAGGATCATTCAACACAAATAGACCAGGTTATTTAACAGACATTGTGTTTTCAGAAAAATCTTTACAATAACAATGTCCTCTAACTAATCAACATCTTTGCTGCAAAACTTTTTTTCAACCCGCATTACACTAGAGTTTCGACGTGGACGTCATTCTCAACTAAACTTCACAGAGGTGGAGGTTAGAGGAAACGTGGAAAAATTTTGTATGTGAGCTAAACCATGAAGATAGGATAAAAACTGACTCGTCAAACAGCACTACAGAGAAGTGAAGCATTTGCACGGGTCTTAATATCAGTAACTTTCTCTCTATTCTCAAGGCCACGATTTTCGTCCTTGATGGTGAAACCCTGTAGATATTCAATAATTCACCTCACACTGTTTTCCAGCAGCGCCGAGCATTCAGGCTAGCTAAGGCTTGAATGATAAGTATTTAACAGGGATCAACACACCACACACATATTAACACGTTTTTCCCTGAACCTGCTTATCCTAAGCTCCTAGATTCTTTCTCTGACTGCATTTATTTGTCCGACTGCATTTACCACTCTGTGAGATGCAACGGTCTTGCTGTTGTATTGTGTACAGACCCATGGTGTCCACATTTTAATTTTTAACCACTCAGGGTGTGATGACATGCTGCTCAAGTACTCCTGGGATGTTTTTACTTAAAAGGGATAGTTCATCCAAAAATGAAAATTACCCCATGATTTACTCACCCTTGTGCCATCCTAGGTGTATATGACTTCCTTCTTTCAGACTAATACAATTAGAGCTATATAAAAAATGTCTGCTGCTTTATACTGGCAGTGAGTAGTGGTCCAGATTTTGTGCATCCATCCATCATAAAAAGTGCCCCACACCAGGGTTGCCAGGTTTTCACAACAAAACCCGCCCAATTGCTAATCAAAACTAGCCCAATCGCATTTCGAGCTGTATCCCATTGATGCATTTGTGTAAGAAAAATATCCATATTTACATCCTTATAACCCATAATCTCTAGCTTCTGCTAACTGTCGTACACGCGTTCATGAGAGAGTGCCATCCAGCGGATGACGTAGGAAGCGCAGAGGAGAAAGCAAAACAAAATACCGTAATTAGAAGTACAAAACGAGGATACAAATCAATTACTACAGTAAGTCATATACACCTAGGATGGCTTGAGGGTGAGTAAATCATGGGGTAACTTTCCTTTTTGGTCGAACTATCCCTTTAAGTTCAAAAAGTTTTTGTTTTTGTTGTTGTTGGTCAGAGTAAAATGGACTCACTGGGCAATTTAATATTTATTTCTTGTTTACACATTCCAGCCAAGACAGGAACCTTTTCACCGGTAATACAACATATCAAAGTGCTAAGGAGCCTTTCACACAGAACGTGTTTTTGTTTTGAAAAATGTGAGATGATCACAGATCCAGGTTTTTTCACACTTGATCTAGTTAACCCTGGGTCATTGTAAACCGTTATCTTGCTGCACACTTCACACTACTCAATATTTACCCATGGTTAACAATGAATCAATTAGTATTTACAAATAATGTTTCAGAATGTATATTCCTAAACCCTGGATGCTCTTATTTGAATAATTGCGCAATGGCAGTGACAGTGCTGGTGATTGGATGAAAGCAGCACGCGATCTGTTTACGTATTGGAGCATTGAAATCCTTGTATTATATTTTGCCGGCTGTTTTTCCTGAATTGACTTTATAAAGGTAAGAATGAGACGGTCTCTTTATCACTTGAGTTGACACGTTTTTGTTACCAAAAAGCTGAAGCAACTGTTTAAAGTGAAGTGACATGTGGCCAAGTATGGTGACCCATACTCGGAATTAGTGCTCTGCATTTATCCCATCCAAAGTGCACACACACAGCAGTGAACACACACACACCGTGAACACACACCCGGAGCAGTGGGCAGCCATTTTTTGCTGCGGTGCCCGGGGAGCAGTTGGGGGTTCGGTGCCTTGCTCAAGAGCACCTCAGTCGTGGTATTGAAGGTGGGAGAGAGCGCTGTACATTCACTCCCCCCACCTACAATCCCTGCCGGTACGAGACTCGAACCCGCAACCTTTGGGTTACGAGTCCGCCTCACCAACCATTAGGCCACGACTTCCCCCTTATTATACAGCAAGCAGTGTTTCTGTAATCCAAAGAAAGTGGCATAAGCATTTAGCCAAAGCATTTATCCCTTTCACACGTGTTTGGCACCGTAATGCAGGGTTAACACCAATAAAGCTCTGATTTTCTGGAGCAGGGTTTCATAATCCCGGAAAAACAGCGGCGCTAACTACTACTAATAAGAATACTATTTTTATAATTATATTTTAATAACACTTTACAGTATTTTCTGTAAAATTATGCTTATATTTTGTAGAACTATAGCAATATGGTGCATAAAAACACCCGTCAAGCTGTTTAGAGAGATACTGTTTTTTCTGATGGGGTTTGGAGAGAGTCCCATTAGCTGAATGGACTTCAGTGTCACATCTACAGACGAAAAACTCAGGCAGGATGTAGCAAGCTGGAATGCTAGAAGGTTCCCATGGAAACTGTGGAGCATGGAATATTTCTCGGAAAGTCTCGGAAAATTTCATACTCTGGTTCTCTCTCCTTGCAGATGAGAAGACCTTTGATCATCTATAATGGTCTGATGCAGAGTGTGCTCCAGAATATAAGCAAGAACTGGTATAGCTTGCTCCGTGCAATGGTTGAAATTCGCCAGAAATTTTAAACAAATATAGTTGTTTCTTTACTAAGCTGCTAAGTAAGCCATTTGTACACACTGCTCACAGCAAGTATGTTTTTTAACACAAAGGTTCCCAAAAGGTGGTTGCTGAAAATATGTGTGCATCACTTCACACAGATAGTGAAAAGCATTTAGGGATACGGTGAATTGTTTATGCTAGCAAAATGTCAAAGATTAACTCCTGGGTGGGATACAACAGGAACCTAAAGCCCTGAAGCACTACCTAGTGCAAACTGATCCTGATTGAGACAGAATGACATGTAGGTGCTGAAACATGCATCTGGGTTGACCAATGATCAGTTCCATTGCCAGCTGTTGTTAAGGACAGAATATGTACATTGAGGACGTATACAGCCTCGGGACCAGGATGCTGGATTGCTCAGGTCAGAGAGTGCCATTCCACATTGCTTTGCACTGGAGTCGACAAGATGATTATCAAGTTTAGTAGTTGTCAAGCCTAAGAGTTCAACCTTGAAATGTCAACAAACTCAATGGCAGTAGATTTTCACACAAGCAAAAAGACACATGACTAAATATGCATTCTTATCTGTGTAAATCTATACTAGGTTTTAAATAATGTGTGTGCCTCAGCATAGCTGAAGAAAGAGATCTGAAGAAAACAGATCATCCGAATAAAAGAATCAATGAGCGAATGAGTGATGAAAAGATTTCTACTGTTTTGCCATCCTGCGTTTAAATTTAATTTAATCCCAGGCGAGATTATTAGATTCAAAGTGCATTTGTTCATCACCAAAGCCCATTTCGGCAAGGATTTAATTTGTCAAAAAGTGTTTGTCAAAGATCCAAAAAATGTATTTTTCCTCCGTCAGGAGGGAGATTTGATTCATTTTTCCATGCAGTCGTGAGCCAGCCCTTCATCCTCATATCCTGCGGTTAAAGCGCGGATTGTGAAGGGTTTATGCAATCCAGTCTGCTTTGGAGCACTAACACTGAGATGAGCTGCTACATATTACAGCAGGAACAGATAGTGATGACAAGCACACGCACATCTCAGACAAATAAGCATGCAATGATGCACACACGCATCACGCAAACTCACAGTCTGTCACGTTTATAGACATATTTTAAAGATAAAGACTTAATGCTACAGCATGCAATGACATTGTAAAGCAGAGCTGTTTAAATTGGGGTTTCTTGACCTCAGAGGGCCAAAAGGGGGTGCTAGTGGGTCTGCAATATTTTATTTATTAATTTTTTTACTAAATGTTTTGGGATATCAAAATAAGCATATTAACTAAAAAATAAATGTTTAACATTCATTTCATTATAATTTAATTTAAATGTTGAAAACACAAACATTATTAATACGTTTACTAAATTTGGTAATGTTAAAGCATCATGATAATAAATATGTAGTTATTTATAATTGCTGCAATATTATCAGATTCAAATTATGTATAATTTTGAAATATTCATAATACAAATAATAAACATATAGATTCAAGATTTTATGTTTTTTAAAAGAAGTCTCTTCTGCTCACCACGGCTATTTGGGGCAAAATACAGTAAAATATTAATATTGTGAAATATTTTTACAATTTAAATTAATTGTTTTCTATTTTAATATATTTTAAAATGTAATTTATCCCTGTGCTGAATTTTCAGCATCATTACTCCAGTCTTCAGTGTCACTTGATCCTTCAGAAATCATTATAACATGCTGAGATATACATATACAAGATAGATAGATAGATAGATAGATAGATATTATTATTATTATTATATTATTATTATTATTATCATGAAGTTGCAATAATATTGTGAAATTCAAATTATTTATATATAAAAACAATTATGATCATTATAAATTACTTTTATACATGAAAATTTATAATTTTCTTTATTTTATGTCCCTGTTTTAAAAAACTGTGTGCTTCCAACTTTTTGGGACAACAGCTTGAAGCATTTTTGTGTTCCATCATTACAACATGGCTGTTCTGTTTGAGTATCTAGGTACTTTTGGCCATATAAGTAAGTTCCTCATGTTTTTCCTTTTCTCTCTCCCCTCACGCACATCCGCACACAAATACAGACCCAGTCATGCATAACAGCAGACTCTGCAATATCTATGCTGTATTTCAGAGCAGTAGGGAATTGTCCACGAATGGAGCAGGCCCAGAGAGTTCAGTGTGGACCCAGAGAGAGTGCTGGAGGCTCATCAGATGGGATCGGCCTAAACTAGGAGGGCAGTGTTCTCGACGTCATTGGAATCACAAAACCAGCTTCCCCCAAAATAGCCTGATGTGTCCGTGCGCTTGTCTCTGAGGCCTATAAAAACAGACAGCCGAAAACAGGAAAGAGAGAGAATAGGACAGTGCACGGGACGGTCCGAGGAGTCACATGCCCAGAAACATCATCATCTCCCACTCGTTCTGTCTTTAGCCTTTTTCATTTTCCCTCTCAGAAGTCTCCTACCATCCACCTCCCTCTTTTCGATAATTCCACACAGTAACAACCACAATTTCCAAACTGTTTTGACAGACACGGCCCTGTTCGCTATAATAGTTCTTTCCTTTTATGTGTTTTGTTGGATTATTCGCAAATCCTCTTTTGAATGCACAAAATCAGCAGATTTCTGACTTTACCTCTCATGACACTCACAATTTTCTTCCCCCACCCCGTCTTTCAGTACAGACCTCAATTGAGTTGGCATTTATGAAAAGCATATACAGTATGTTCCCAGACAGCATATAATCCAGTGCTATTACAGCTGAACTATATTGCAACAAATGCCAGAGGTGGCAGGACTAATTTGCAACAACAAACCGATGAGAAAGTATGCTACTTTTGCAGATGATTGTCTGAAGGAAGCTGTTCTGTTGTCTGTGATCTCAGGAAACAATTTTTTGCTCTCTGCAACCATTTGGACTCGAATAATATGTTCCGACAGAAAGACTGACAGAAAATCTATCAAAATTAGTAATTAGTGGAGTTGCAGTTTTTAACGTCACATCATTCCACCATTAGATCTGCCTTTGCCCACCTTGCACTTTGTCAGTTAAAAGAAAAAATAGCGTCTGACATGCCCAGTGGCGCCGAAACAGTCTTGTCATTTCCATTACCCAATCCCTGTTCCATACGCACCTCCCTAATATTCTCTCGAAATCTCTTGTTCGGCTCCTAGAAGGGTGTTTTATCAGATCAGATCATATACTGTTGCAGTTATTTGTAATGTCGTTGCTCTGAAAATCTTGTTTTTCTAGTAATTTGATCAATCTGACTCAATCTGGGAAGTGTAATGTTCTAAAACAGGGATTACAGGAACTGTCATGCAAACATGAAGATTAAGGTTACAGAAAAACGAGTGATATCTAAACAAATTCTGTGTGGAAAAGTTAAAACATTGTTTCAAAACTGTCACAGGCATAGTCAAAAACAGTGAGATAAGTCGAATGAATTTACCACACAGACATTCATCCAGGGGGATCATTCTGCTAATCTGTTTTCTGCGTCATCTCTGAGTAGGCATATGTCCAGTTATAGGATGTATGACCAAATTTAGCCTAAGTTGACCTCCTTTCAGCCAACTCTGTTGAAAAGCACATGACAGCGACAGCAATCATTTCCTCCTCATGAAACAAATGAATTATAGCTAATTGTTGAATCATGCACTTCTACAGTTGTATTGGTATAGCTTGCTCCGTGCAATGGTTGAAATTCGCCAGAAATTTTAAAGTAGTATGCTGCGTATTTCTTTTCTTTCTTTCTTTTTGTGCAGTTTCAAAATTTATATTTGAGAAATGACATTTATGTTGTAGTATGCAAGTGTCTTCTAATGTTACAACCAACTTATATAACTAAAAAATTAACAACCAGCATTTTGCAGAACCCAATAGGAAAATCCAAGGGAAAAATGTTAATTCTCTTCCAGGATTATGAATTGAACAGCTTTACTCATCCAGGGGGATCATTCTGCTAATCTGTTTTCTGCGTCATCTCTGAGTAGGCATATGTCCAGTTATAGGATGTATGACCAAATTTAGCCTAAGTTGACCTCCTTTCAGCCAACTCTGTTGAAAAGCACATGACAGCGACAGCAATCATTTCCTCCTCATGAAACAAATGAATTATAGCTAATTGTTGAATCATGCACTTCTACAGTTGTATTGGTATAGCTTGCTCCGTGCAATGGTTGAAATTCGCCAGAAATTTTAAAGTAGTATGCTGCGTATTTCTTTTCTTTCTTTCTTTTTGTGCAGTTTCAAAATTTATATTTGAGAAATGACATTTATGTTGTAGTATGCAAGTGTCTTCTAATGTTACAACCAACTTATATAACTAAAAAATTAACAACCAGCATTTTGCAGAACCCAATAGGAAAATCCAAGGGAAAAATGTTAATTCTCTTCCAGGATTATGAATTGAACAGCTTTACTCAAATTTTCCAATTGTTTGGTTCCCGTGTCTCTCAATTACACCACATTAGCGTAGAACAACAGAAAAATCTATTTTCTCATTAATCTTTTTTGCAGAGTATAGACACAAATCCACTCTGCTTTGTAGATGGATCCGCAAAAAAACATTTGCCAATATTGCATTGGGTAAACTGCTTGTGATCTGACCTGATTTAGCCATCAAAACGTAATTGAAAAGACACCACCAACCTTGATACTGTTCCAGAGTTCAGCTGATGCAAGAAAACAATCATCTATAACTAGACCAGATATTATTTCCAAAACATTTATTCTCAATATTTAACATGCATGAATGACACTACAAAGGCATTCCAAGCTTTATTTTCTTTGTTTGCATATGCATTAAGGCCACTTCAAAGTCATGTGACAGCACAAGATGTCACTTAAATCAAATCAATGCTTTTATATTTCAATATCACTGCATGCATCTGCTCTTTAA